AAGTGGGTTAACTGGCCTGAACTGGGCCGGAATTTCCCTTAGCCCGGTCCCCCTTGAGCCACAATTTGTAAGTTGGACCCTACTTTTCAGGGCAGGGCCGGGCTGGGCCCGTGGCCATTGCCAACCCTAATTATTTAGCGAGTCCTCTCATGTTTGTTGAATTTAATCGTGAGATCATGTTAGTGTAAGATGTATGTGGATTTTGTGGTGATTAAGGTTCAAAATACCGAAATAAATATTTATAGCTGCGGGGTCTTGAATCGGTGTGATTACGTAGCGGCCAATTTGTAGGGGTTTAAATCCCGAATAGGATTCAACATTGAGTCTTTTAAGTATGGACATTGTTAGTAAAAGAGCTTACGCTTAATGGGTTAGTGCTTGATGATGTGTAATGCTATGTCTTAGGCTCAATTCTTATTAAAAAAATAAGTATTTTATGTACGGACTTTAAAATTTTAGATGTATTTTTTTATTTTTTTCAAAATTACCTCTTGGTCAACTTGAATTTTATATTTTTTAGTTTTTTCATTAGTAGAGCAGTGCCTCAAGCTTTAAGGCATTGTCCTACTAACAAATAAAATAAAAACAAATATATCAAAATTCCACTTGATTGAGGAGCAGTTTTGGAAAATAAAAAAAAGTCGGTTAACCGACCTTCTTTGTAATTTCGTATTTTATTTAAAATTTTAGGGTCTGTATGTAAATTACTAAAAAAAAAATACTATTGGGATTGTATACTATGAGACTGTTTATATTTATTACAAGGAGGTCACAATTATTTCTAGTCATTAGATGTGAAATTAGATGGCTTGGCATATTTCATGAAGTTCGAGATTTTTTTTTTTTTTTTAACTTTGAGTCTAGTAAATACTCTTGCAAACACCCAATTAAAAATTTGGCAGGCAAAAGTGTTTGCGACTTCCTTGTACTAAAAGTAAATAGTCATTTGTACAATTTTCCTTGAATGTAACGGCTTATTTCGAAGAGTAATAGGTGATTTTTGAAAAAATATATGATGTAACAGACTTCACATTAGATATAACAATGCTGTCAATTTTCATCCATCAGTAAACTCCATAATAAAGTTATATCACATTTTTTGTCTTAAATTTTAAAAAGTGATAGATTGACCATCTTGTAGGGTTCTCATGAACCCATTCCTTACAGAACCGAGATTTCCAAATGCCAGGATCCGACTTAAGATCGTGTACACATTGGCTAAATGTAGAAGTAAATAAATACAACTATAAATATAGTACAAGAAATAAAGCAAACATCAAAAGCACACCACCATACGATTTACGTGGTTCACCCCGTAGGGTTATATCCACAGCGTCGGCAAGTAGAAATCCACTATCACAATAAAGATTATTACAGTTTTAGGGTTACAAGAGATAATACATTTCTCTAAACATCGGTAAAAGACCATCACCAATCTTCCCTTCTAAACTCAATCTCCCGTACCAAGTAATATCGTCGATCAATACCTTCTTTCCACCACAATAACGCTACTAGAAAGATAACCTTAAGAGCAACCGAGAGATTTTCTCCCTCTAGAAGTGGAAGCCTTACCAACCCAAAACTCAAGGGAATACCGCCTCACTTTTGGAAGCCATGTCTCTCTCTCTTGGAGACCCATCTCATCTTCAGAGATCTATTCTT